ATGGTGACAAGGACATCCCTTTGACTTGGAGCAGGTTCTTGTTCCCAAAATTGGAGAGGTTTGGCCATGGGAATGTCCTGGTCACCCTGGCATGGTGACAAGGACATCCCTTTGACTTGGAGCACGTTTCTGCTCCCAAAATTAGAAAGGTTTGGCCATGGGAATGTCCTGGTTACCCTGGCATGGTGACAAGGACATCCCTTTGACTTGGAGCACGTTTCTGCTCCCAAAATTAGAAAGGTTTGGCCATGGGAATGTCCTGGTCACCCTGGCATGGTGACAAGGACATCCCTTTGCCTTAGAGCAGGTTCTTGTTCCCAAAATTGGAGAGGTTTTGGCCATGGGTATGTCCTGGTCACCCTGGCATGGCAGCTTTGACTTGGAGCAGGTTTCTGCTCCCAAAATTGGAGAGGTTTGGCCCTGGGAATGTCCTGGTCACCCTGGCATGGTGACAAGGACATCCCTTTGCCTTGGAGCAGGTTCTTGTTCCCAAAATTGGAGAGGTTTGGCCATGGGAATGTCCTGGTCACCCTGGCATGGCAGCTTTGACTTGGAGCAGGTTCTTGTTCCCAAAATTGGAGAGTTTTGGCCATGGGAATGTCCTGGTTACCCTGGCACGGCAACTTTGACTTGGAGCAGGTTCCTGCTCCCAAAATTGGAGAGGTTTTGGCCACGGCTCCAGCCCTCAGAGCATCTCCCACGGGCACATGGAAATGGTTTTATTGTCCTGGATTCACCACCCCAGGGTTTCAAACCCAAGGCAGGTTTGCAGGGAAAGGGATTTTCTTTCATTTCACCAACTAACACAAGCTGAGGGAAAAAAAAAAAAAAAACCAAACCAGAATATCTCAGAAACACAAGTTCTTCCAATTTTAACAGAATGCTGGAAGAAAAAGTTAATGTATCTTTCATGAGGACAATCTAGATAATAAGCAACACAATTCCACAGCAAAAGGCTGGGATTTTTTTTTTCCCTTTTCCTTTCTTTCTTCTTTTTTTTTCCCTTAAATAAGTAGGAATTTCTGGTCGTGGATAGAGGACCAAGGTAAAACTTGAGTCACCAAACATCCCCCAGACAGGGACATGCTATAACCTCAGGTGTTAAGTGATCCATGAGATTTTACTTTCAGATTTGGGCAGAAACAACAACTTCAGGGAAAAAAAAAAAAAAACCAAACCAACAATGAAACCACAACAACCCCTCTGAGTGTCAAACCTAAACTGAAATTGTTATTCAGCAATTTGCAACACTTACTGTCATATTAAAGTAATTTCATTTTATTTTTGCTCACTGGATCTGTTCCTGTAACAAAACAGCAAATCTTGGGATTTAAGGGGATATTTGGGAGAGAAGTGAATTATCCTGAAAGGTTGGGAGGTACAACCTGTGACCCTGCAAAAGGTGAAATTTTGCAGGCCAGATGTGACAGAACTGTGGGATTTGGGCATTTTCCCCTCATTTCTAACCTCTCTGCCTGTGAAGGCTCTGCAGCCTCTCCTCCTTCTCTGCATGGAAATATTATTTATAAATATTATTTATGAACGTCCAGGAATGTTCACTTCCTCCTTTTTTATTTAGGAAAATTTCCAAATGGAAGAAACTTTTGCTCCACCAGCCAATTTCTGACCCCTCTGGATGATCTCCAGGTGGTTTTGTTCCTTTGCTGGAGGTAAAAACCAACACATAAACAGAGAGAAATCTGAATTACTCATCTTTTGGAGGTGCCTTCTAGCCCAGGGTGCTCCATGGTTTTATATCTCAGAACTTTTTTAAGCTACAGGTGAAGGCAGCAGCGGACCCAAGTGGCCAAAAAGGTTAAAATTATTATTAATTAAGGTACCAAAACCAGTGTGGCCAGCAGGACCAGGGCAGGAGGTTGATTTCCAGCCTCTCTCCAGGACCCACATCCCTAAAGCTGCAGATTGTGGGAATCCAGGGAATCCCTCTGGCTGCCCTGGGACCCTGGCAGGGGTCAGGAACCCCCTGGACAGAGCCCCCAGAGACACTGGCTGTGATCTCTGCCCATGGAAAAGAGTTTTCAATCTTACAGGATCAATTACCAGCTCTGAGTGTTTGATATCAGTAATAATTAAGTGTGGCACGGGTGCAAAAGTAAAATTTTAGGATTCTAGATTAGGGGTTCAAAGGGGACAAGATGGAGGAAATTGGGTGTGTCTTGTCCTTTTCCTCCTTCTTCATGCCCTCCATGTTTCACTGTGGTGTTGGCATTTTTCTGTTGCTTCAGGCTGGGGACACACTGTCCAACGTAGGTGACAGATATTGGCACGTTATTGTAAATCCAGCACAGGTAGTTTGTGGTATTTAATGTTTGTACCATCCCACTGAGGGCAGAGCCCCACACGCTGCCCTGCAGGACAGAGCTGCGGCAGGGCAGCAGAACATGTTAGAGATAAACAGAATAAACAACCTTGAAACCAGCACAGACCAATTATGGCTTCTGCTTTGGCAGCGGGGCTGACAGACAGAGACTTTCTACAATCTCAGAACCATCAATACCTCAGATTCTGACACCAGATGAGGACAAACCCCATGAGAAATGGTTGGTACTCACTTTTTCAAGGGCTCTATGACTGTCTTTTGGATCTGATTCACCTGTGGAAAGCAAAAAAAGGAGAATTGCACGTCAGGATTGTTGGAAAATCCCATCTGCACAAGGATGGGTTTGTTGGGATCCCAGCACGGGTGGGGAGGGACTCTGAGCACAACCACGATGCCCTTTAACCAAAAGAGAGGGAATTTCTCCCATGGGGGCTGAAATCCCAGCCTGAAGAGGGAGATTAGAGAAATTCCTGTGGGAAAAGTCTTGGGGATGATGATAAAAAGGGGAAGAGATGAGAAATGAAGATTTTGGACAGGGCAGGGAGTGACAGGACACAGGGAGCGGTTCCTCACTGCCAGAGAACAGGGATGGATGGGATTTTGGGAAGAAATCCTTCTCTGGAAGGGTGGGGAGGGGCTGGGATGGAATTCCCAAAGGAGCTGTGGCTGCCCCTGGATCCCTGGAAGTGTCCAAGACCAGTCTGGAGCAAACTGGGACAGTGGGAGGTGTCCCTGCACATGGCAGGGGGTGGAATGGGATGGGTTCAAATCCCTCCCAACCCCAACCACCCCAGGATTCCACGACACTCCCACCATTCCATGACTCCAGGACACTCCCAGCACTGCCACGCTCCAGCCAAAGCCAATCCACCTTCTCCTGGTTGAAGGAGTCCATCCTCTTCATGGCCGTGTCGAAGGCCGTGACCATCTCGAGGAAGGAGGGCTCCTGCTCACACAGGGGGTTGGAGAGCAGGTCTGAGGAGATCTTCACAGCAGATTTGGACATGGCTGATGGAAAATAAACCAGAGAGGGTCACAGTTCCTGCTGCCAGCAGGGCAAAAATCAGCGAGCTGAGCCAGCCAGGAGGGGATCAGCACAAGCTTGCAGGGAGATGCTTGGTGGAGGCTGAGAGAAAAGCAAGGAAAAGGCACCAATTCATTCATGTAAACACCCAGAGAAGTGTTTTTATGTGAGTTAAGTCTGAAGCACTCCAGTGTGAGGCTTGTGATGCTGCCAGAAATAATCCCAGACTAACAAAAGCACTGTTCTCTTTAAAAAAAAAAACCCCAGAGATGGGGTTTTTATACATCTTCTCTCGACAGACTATTAAGTGTCACTCTCAGCCTCACTACAGCTCCTCCACGACGAGAAAAATCACAGTCCATTAAGTCTTTCAAATGGCTTTACAAAAAAACCCCATGTATTTGAAGTGGATTTGGTGGGAAAGGACCAGACTGACAGGACTGGGAGACGAGGTTTCTCTTCCCCTCTCCAAACACAAAGAGCAGGGACACAAGTTAAGTATTTTCCCCTCAATAAGCCAAAATTTTGTGCCTGTGGAGAAGGAGGCAGGGGGGGATATGAAATCCCTACAGGCCCTGGGAGTGCCACCAAGAAATCCAGAAGCACCAGAATGCCCTGACTGAGCATTCCCATGTTTTCCATCAGGCACATCCCTCTTTATCCAAACACTTGGTCTGCAAAGGGAAAATTCAGTGACAGAATCACTACACAAACGAACAAGAAATTAGGGAAGGTACAGAATGGAAAAAAAGACTAATAAAAAGGAAAGCATAAATATAAACAGGGATAAAATAGGCTAAAAAAAAAAAAAACCTAAAACGCCAGAGGTACTAAAAACCAAAAAAAAAGTTCTTTTTCCTCAGTGCTGGAAGTTATTCCAGTCGGAGATCACAAAGCCAGATGCTTGAGCTGTGCTGTGGAGGAGCTTTAGAAAGATATTAAAAGTAAAAATCATCTGAATAATGGGGCTTAAGATCATAAATCAAGGGGTTAAACATTCTGATTGAAAGGTTACACACAATTATAATGGAGAGAGCTCAGAAGCTGCAGAGCTGGGGAGCTGAGTGCAGAAGGAGCCTCTCACTCCGGGATAACAAAGCTACCGTATCCATCTATTATCCAAACATGAAGGCTTTAGGCATTTAAACCTTTAAACAGATGGGATATAATCCATATGTGTGACCACATCTGAGGAGGGATTTGTGCCAGAATGGGTCGGAGTTAAGAATGGCAGAACTCCTTTGGCTGGAAGAAAAATGAAGTTTTCCTTCAGAGGAAAGGGTTGGAAGGGAACTGGAGGGAGGGAGTGGCAGGGTCATGCTGGGAGGTCGGGAATTGGGGGGGGGTTGGGCAGGTCCAGAGGGAATTTGGGTCAGGAATTTCCTCTGCATCACTGGGATCACCTGTAGTGAGCTGAAAAAGGGGTCTGAGAGTGCCAGGGCAGGGGGAGAGGAGAGAGGAGGAGGAGGAGGAGGAGGAGGAGGAGAAGGAGAAGAAGGAGAAGGAGAAGGAGAAGGAGAAGGAGAAGGAGAAGGAGAAGGAGAAGGAGAAGGAGAAGGAGAAGGAGAAGGAGAAGGAGAAGGAGAAGGAGAAGGAGAAGGAGAAGGAGAAGGAGAAGGAGAAGGAGAAGGAGAAGGAGAAGGAGAAGGAGAAGGAGAAGGAGAAGGAGAAGGAGAAGGAGAAGGAGAAGGAGAAGGAGAAGGAGAAAAGAACTCCTGTCCCTCAGGGTGGCCTTCAGGAGGGTCTGCACTGCTGTTTTGCTCATTAAACATGTGAGATGTAGCTCCAGTTAATTATTCCAAAGGAGAGCTTTTACCTCCAGTTAAAGAACATCCTCCTGCTTCTCAAGATCCTCTTTTGTTTGGAAAGAGGGTGGGGAAGGAGGTGAGTGGTGTCCAGTTGTGGGACAGGGAGTGCTGCTGGTAGGGCAGTGAAGAGCCTCACTGGGATATTTCTGTGCACAGGAATTGCTCTTGTTCTGAGCTGAGTTTTTTGGGAAGAAGGTGGAGACTCAAGCCACCAGTCCCACCTTGCCAGGGAGTGTTTTCAGGCAGTGAAGAACCAACAAACCCCTGAGCCTGGAGGAACGGGACAGGAGGGCAAATCTGGCCATCCTCGCCAGATTTGGGGGCTGCCAGGTGAGGAGAGCCCTGCTCAGGGATTGATCTGATCCACCTCCTTCTCCTCCAGCCCTCCCTCAGCAGGCTGTGGGCAGTACCTCTCCCTCCACTCACCATTTCAGGCTTTTAAATGAGAAATCAGATCGTCCTGGCTCTGGCCAAGGCTCATTTGTGACTCTGCCATGTAACAGAACGGAAAAAGAAAGTCCTCCCACAGCTCCTCTGGGACTTGAAATGCTCCATATAAACAACGCCCACTGCAAGGGAGGGGAGGGGAATCCTTAACGAGGAAAAACTTACCAAGGATCCCTGACAATGACCAGAGTCCTCAGAAAGGGCAGTTTTCACCCTGGAAAAGTGTCCTGGGTGTCTTTTCCCACCCCTCTCCCCGTGCTGGGAAGGTGGGAGAGCACGGGAAGAGCCTGGATCTGTGTTTGTGTCAGACAATATCCACACACACACACAGGTGAGAGGCTGGATCACAGCAAGCCCCAAATTTCCAACTTTGCCTCTTTCCCAGCAGCCCCAAATTTCCAACTTTGCCTCTTTCCCAGCAGCCCCAAATTTCCAACTTTGCCTCTTTCCCAGCAGCCCCAAATTTCCAACTTTGCCTCTTTCCCAGCAGCCCCAAATTTCCAACTTTGCCTCTTTCCCACCAGCCCCAAATTTCCAAATTTGCCTCTTTCCCACCAGCCCCAAATTTCCAACTTTGCCTCTTTCCCACCAGCCCCAAATTTCCAACTTTGCCTCTTTCCCACCAGCCCCAAATTTCCAACTTTGCCTCTTTCCCACCAGCCCCAAATTTCCAACTTTGCCTCTTTCCCAGCAGCCCCAAATTTCCAAATTTGCCTCTTTCCCAGCAGCCCCAAATTTCCAAATTTGCCTCTTTCCCACCAGCCCCAAATTTCAAAATTTGCCTCTTTCCCAGCAGCCCCAAATTTCCAACTTTGCCTCTTTCCCACCAGCCCCAAATTTCCAACTTTGCCTCTTTCCCAGCAGCCCCAAATTTCCAACTTTGCCTCTTTCCCAGCAGCCCCAAATTTCCAACTTTGCCTCTTTCCCAGCAGCCCCAAATTTCCAACTTTTTATTGCTTCCTCCATCGCCCACTGCCACGAGGGGAAGCCAAAACAAGCAGCCACCAGGGAATGAGCTGGGTTATTCCCAAAGGAGAGCTGCCAGGTCAGCATTTCCCACGGGAAACACGGCCAGCTGTGTCCAGCTGTGCCCTGCAGACCCCCCAGGCTCATCCCACCTTCCTGGGGCTCCAGAGAGGGACGTGAAGGAGGTGAAAGGAGGACTGAAGGAGGTGAAAAAGCACTGCTGGCGCAATAGGATCAGCTGGAGCTGCTCCTGAGACCTGGGACAACGACTCCTGGGTTTTTTCAGTGGCAGAAACTGAGGCAAACAAAAGAAAGGGACTTGTCCAAGGGCACAGAGCTCAGGAGACAGGGACTGAGCCCGCAGCACTCCCTGTGTTCCCTGGGCTGAGCTGCCTCTCGCAGATGGCCTTGTAACTAAGCAAACTGAGTGGGACTGAGCTCTGGATTTGTTTTCCAGACTTGTCACACATTACTCATGTGATCTCGAGAAAAAGTCACTTCATCTCTCTGTGGCCAAGTTCACAGTCTATGTATCCTCCAGTCACTTACCCAAATCTGCATCTGTGCTTTTCTTCATATCCTTCTGAAGTTTTTTGGTCTGATCTTCCAATCTGAAAGATGGGAGAAAGAAGGCAAAGTTGGAATCTTGGAAAGAAAAGAAACTCAAGTGTATCATACGTGCAACAAATCATTTACGGGCTGAATATGCTGGCTTCTGGTGAGAGTTAAAAATATCCAGGCAAGGCTTGATGAAGTTCAGTGCAGCTCAACCCTTTCGGGTTGTTTTCAGATGGTTTTTAACCTTTTCAAGTTGGTGATCTCTTATTCATAGTTCGCATATTTCCTGAAAGTTCTCACACTTAGCACAAATGGTAAAGCCAAATGCTTCCAGATGATCCGTGTGAGCTCCTGTGACACAGGCAGGATGGCAAAGCCACTCCTGGTCCTCTGAGGTGTTGGCCTCTTCAGGGACCCCGCAGCTTTCTGGCAATTTTACACTCTCTTTTCAAGCTGCCAGAATCTGCAACCCCACTGCAAATACTTCTGAGGACACCTCTGAACACTCAGAGAAACCCTGAAGAATTGGAAATTACAGGGCAGCCAGGGATTTGCTCACTGGGAAGGGCATCCCTGGCTAAAATTCCCTGGGAAGATGCAGCCAGAGGAGGGAAGCACGCGGCCGGTCCTGTCCGACCAGTGTGGTTGATACTCACTGCTGCAGCTTCCCATATTCCCTTTCAAAGTCTCTCTCCACCTGTGGAAAGAAGAGATGGAAATCAGCTCCAGGGGACTGCAGGGCAGCCTGGAGCGTGCAGGGAAAGCTGTCCCTGGGAAACGCTGAGCTGAGCCCAGCAAAGCTGCAGCTTTAATGGGAGTTAAGCCTCAAAAGTAAAGGAAATCTTGGGGGTTTGGAGCTCCAGAGTCTCTTGGAGCCAGCACCAGACATGTCAGCTCGAGCCAAGGCCACGCTCCAGCACACGGATTGGGAGCTGATGGAATAAATGGGAATGCTCTAAAAGCAGGGAGCTCACCACCTAGCATGGCTCAGTGCTGGGGGACAAACCCGTGTTCTCTCCCAAAAACAGAGGGGAGCAGCTGCTCCTCCAGCCCCGTTAAGGACCCTGAGGTGGGTCTGGTTGTTTCCTCATCCTCATCAGGATGGTGAAATTCCCCCCAAACCAGCAGAGAGCCTTCCCATCCCTGCACTGTTCACCCCCTCCATACACTCCTAACCCCTACAACAGCTCCCTCCCATGAAATTCTGGGGCTGGAGCACAACCCCAGTGGACTGTGACACCTCCAAAAGGGAGGGGAGCCCTGTGCTCCGAGCTCAGAGCTCCAGCACAGCCTTCTCCCGATGCTACCTCAGTGCCTGCTCCCTCCTACTTGCTAGCTGGCAGCAAACCTCCAGCGATAGGAGATATTTTAAGGAACTTTTTTTCCATGCTGACTGTTTTAACACACTTAAAACATTCATTCCACACCTCGTCAACCAGAGAAGCAAATGGATTTCAATTGACCAGCCAAGAGTAAATCCGTGCGCGTTTGTTGTCATGGGATCAGCGCTGGGTTCAGTTGTGTTGTCAAGCTCCCGTGCTATTAAGGAAATGCAGAGTGCTGGGAGCAGCCAGGACTGGAAGGATCCAAAGGTTTGTTCCAATTCCTCCTGCTGGCCCTGGGATTTCAATCCCAGGCTTGATGCGGCACCGCAACGTTTAATGGGGACGTTTGCTTTTCAAGCAAAATTGCTGTTAAAAGCTTGGGGGTTAGAGACTGAGATTTTCATAAAATCTCCTTCTTTAAACATCTTTTTGGGCTGCACTTGAACTCCACCAGCCCCATCTGAGGGCAGCCAGTGCCCAGCCACATTCCAGCCCCATCCCAGCGCCCAGCTGTCCGCACCATCCGCTCCCACCATCCGGGGGATGCGAGCTGGGCTCTCTCTCCCCCCCATCCCTCTGCTCCAAAAAACCCTCCCAGGAGCTCCAGCTCCCTTTTCGTGCTGCTAAAATTGGGTGCTGGAGAGAACAGCCACGGAGCAGTGTGGGGGCAGCTCACACGACTTGTGCCTGGCGTTCGGGGAGCGCAGAAATCCGCGGCAGCTGGCGCCCTGCAGGTCAGGTAACCAGCACATAGTAAAGCTCACCCTCCATCCCCGTGCCTGTTCCGGCTGCTAAAATACCCAGGGACTATTGCACTCTATTTATAGGCCTTAGGTGTGAATTGTTTTGGTTGCAAACCACACAGGGTCGGGCACGACTCAAAAACATGCCCCCCTTTGAAAGGCTGGGGGTGTCGCTCTCCCTTATTGTTCCCTTTCTCTGTTTAGGAGGATCTGCTCAGCAACCAATTCCCCCAAAAGGTTTGGCTGTGGAATGTTTGCAAATATTCAGGGTTTCTGTCCCTTTTTTGCTGTCAGATTTGCCTGTTTCTGTGCGATAAGCAAAAGGCATCTTTGCTTAACAGATACGGAGCAGCACCCCGGGCCTGAAGGGGGACTGGGGACAAGGGATGGAGGGACAGGACACAGGGAATGGCTTCCCACTGCCAGAGGGCAGGGCTGGATGGGATTTTGGGAAGGAATTCCTGGCTATGAGGGTGGGGGACAGAATTCCTTGGGAAGCTGCAGCTGCCCCATGATCCCTGGAAGTGCCCACGGCCAGGCTGGAGCAGCCTGGGACAGTGGAAGGTGTCCCTGCACATGGCAGGAGGTGGAACAAGAGGAGTTTAACTCTCCCTTCCCACCCAAACCATTCTGGGATTTCAGGATTCATTCCATAAAGACAAAACCTCTCCACCCTGCGACCCTCTGGGTGCTGTGAACCCCCCAAAACCCTCCCGAGCTCCTCAAAGCCCCCACCCCAGCGCCGGAGCAGGATCCACACGGGATGGAGGTGACTCCACACAGACACA